TGGGACATTCTTATGGTAGCGAGTTTATGAATGTTTTCAGCAGGTGGTTACTATGTACAGTAGTTTTAACTAATGTGAATGGTAGATTGAGAGATAGAAGTGTCTTGGAAGGAGAAGCATATTCTGAGTGTAATGTTTCTCCGAAGTTACAAGCTCCTCCATGGCACTCCAAATTTCCCACAGTCTCGTGGATATAACAGTGTAAGACCTGTATGAGTTTTAGTAATTTACTGGTTATTTGATATTCCTTTTTTCACATTATTGTAGTGACCGTTTCTTTGTGTAAATACTAATAGTCAACGTAGGTTCTAGGTGAGTAAAGCTATCTAATTATTAAAACTCATATTAAATAGGGTTCTGGGATAATATATATGAGAGGGTATCATTAATTGTAGGAGCTTTTATTTATATAATTAATTATGGCTGTACTTTGCTATGCATTTTCCAATTTACAAACCATGATAATGCATAATTAAAAGCTCTACAAGATAGATTATCAGAGTGTATCCAAGAGTATAATCCAGAGACCAGTATTTAGGTTCTCTGACAAAAGAAGAAAACTGTAAAATACTTGATATTGGTATATATCTTTTGAGAATCTGTCTTCTTGCAGTATGAAATTATTCATCTCATTGATTTTTAATGGTTTGGACTAAAGATGTAGTAATGGCAAGCGGTTTCTGATTAGTTTTTTCTCTCTCTTTTTTTTTTTTTTTTTTTTTTTGGCTGCTCCTTTTTGCAATTTGGAAGATTGGTATAGAACCACAGGACACTCAAGCATTACTACGTCTGCCTTAGTTCAACCTGGTCCTAGATATATATGAAAACAAACCATAAACAGAGCCTGAATAATGCCGCTTGCTTCCATTGACTGCAGAACCATCACAACGTTGGGTCTTATAAATGATGTATTTGTAAGTGTACTGTTTATGCCTAGATTCAGGATCACCTTTGAAGCAGATACTGTTATGGTTCTCCTTTTTATTTGTCTTTTTTTTTTTTTGGCTTATGGTCAGTTGGATCTCCATGAGGACCTTATGAGTCATTGGGAAAGGAAGAAAATCTGTACCAAATTGATTTTTTTTCTCTTTTTTTTTCGGTTCTTTCACATAGTAACGTTACGTAGTGTTAAAGGGAAGGTTTGCAAAAAATTCAGTTGATTTGCCAAAAAGGTTTTCCAGAGTACAGGCCTATATGTACTAATGATAATAAAAAAAAACAATGTTCCAGACACCTTGGAGACATAGCCATACTACAAAAAAAAAAATGAAGAGCTTCTTGTTATTTTATACAAATGTGTCTTCTCTGCTAGCTAGCCCATGGACTAGTTTTTTGGTCTAGTTCTAAGGCTTGCTAGTTCTAGTCGTTTGGCTAGAATGAATGTTTATTAGCGCAGATGAATGTGCAGCATATTGGTTATAGTGTGTGCAAATAATTTCTCTTGTTTAATAAAACCGTGTCGTGGATCTATTTTTATTTATTTAACCAACGGAAGAGCAAAGGAGAACAATAAAGACATATTTAGATAAACAAAAAGTAGAAACTTAGATAAACAATAAACATTTAAATAAACAATAAACATATTTAGATAAACAGTAGGCACAAATTTAGGTAAACAATAAACATGGATCTAAATAAACAATAGAGACATTTAGATAAACAATAAACATAGAAACAATAAACATAAATTTAAATAAATAAACATTTAGATAAACAATAAACATATTTAGATAAACACATTTAGATAAAAATAAGCACAAATTTAGATAAACAATAAACACATTTTGATAAACAATAAACATAGATTTAAGTAAACAATAAACATATTTAGATAAACAATGAACACAAATGTAAATAAAAAAACATTTATATAAACACAAATTTGATTAAACAATGAACACAAATGTAAATAATAAACATGTTTAGATAAACAAAAATTTAAACAATGAACACATCTAGATAAACAATAAACACAAATTTGAATAAACAATAAACACATTTAGATAAACAATGAACACAAATTTGAATAAACAATGAACATATTTAGATAAATAATAAACAATTCCCATTTTCTTTGCGGTACAAGCCAATATATCCTTCTTCACACTCAGTATTAAGGCTACCAAACTGATACCTTATATCCAGTTATATGACCCCTTGGCTTTTTCCACTGTTCCCCCTTTGACGTAGTTCTGACGTAGTTGTGACGTATCTGACATAGTTCTGACGTATCTGACGTAGTTCTGACGTAGTTCTGATGTTCTTTATTTAATTCTGATAGTCTCTATCTCTCTTTCTCTTTTTCTTTCCTTCTTTCTCTTTTTCTCTCTATCTCTTTCTATCTCTCTTTCTTTGTCTTTTACTTTTTCTTTCTATCCTTCTTTCTCTTTTTTTTTAACTTTTTCTCTCTATCTCTTTCTATCTCTCTCTCTATCTCTCTCTTCTCTTTTTCTTTCTCTTCTCTTTCTCTCTTCTTTCTCTTTTTCTCTCTCTTTCTCTC